GATTTCTTCTTGGAAATTGAACACATAATTGTTCTCCTTCAATTCCTGATGCCATTTCAAAAACGTCTCTTTCTCTGCTGGATTCATTCCATTGGGATGGTAATAAGGACTCGGTGGTAGGGGTCCAACATATTTCTGGTTTTCGTTTCTGTTGAAGAGGTGAGGGAAATATCCTTTTGCCAACTCGTTCAAACCAAAGGTTTTGGGAAAATCAGCCAGTCTCATCGGTATGAAACTCAAGGAATCGATGAATTTAATCTTGAGCATAGGTACGTACATCGTAAGGATCTTGGCACCACGCATGATGACTTCAGGAATAACACCGTTCTCGTGTAGGTATTGTTGGATGAAATAACCATTGTAGCCTTGGAAATTATGGGCCACCATGATGCATCCTTCATGTTCTTTCGTGAACAACCATTCGCAGAACTCGTTCCTGGTATTATCTCCTTGAAACATCCATTCGTCACCAGCCTCGTTTTGAATTACGCACAAGTTCGGTTCGTGAGTACCATTCTCTTGGATGCACTCAAAATCGAAGAACAGTAGCTCATTGTATCCGCTTTTGTGGACGTCCTCATCTGCTTCGTCATCACATAAACCAGTCTCACGTGCAGGTTTTTCCTTGACAGGATGCATGTAGCACTGGTGATCTTTAATGTCCACGTATTTTTCAGAGGTCGAACAACGTTTCAGTCCGCAGTGATGCAAATCAGGCCTCAGTTGAGCCGATCAAAAACAAGATTACAATGAGGACATTTGGCAATAGACAAACAGATCGATTTTGCATTTCCTACGTTTTGTTTGTGCCGATCGAAACATTCTTGACTTTTAAAAATACGGTTACAATCACTACATGAAATCCACGAAACAATCGGACAATTTTGAAAATGGCACAATTTACACGTATCTCCGCATAAATGACTTCTTACATGATCATACCCTTTTTTACAAGTATGGCAATACTTTTTACGAGCAACAAAAGCCGGCATGCTTGTAATCACATCGAAATGATTGTCATGCAAAAAAACAAATAGATCCTTTTCTCTTTATCAGGTCCGGAAAAAATGACAGAATTTTGATGCTCTTTTGAAACAATGTTGATTTGATAATCGGTCAAATACGCTTGAAATTGTTTGACTTGGTCTATACCGCAAGAACCTATAGGAACACCTGCTTTTTCGTGCAAATCATGAGCTAAACATTCCTGTAACGAAGCGCGATGATTGGCTATCACCTTATGCCGACTATCGTTTTCAATTTTGGCAATCGAAACAACTAAAGCCCGAGCTAAACATAAATCATCCTTGTTCTGAATACGAACAATTGCCCTTTTATTGATCAAATGCTTTTCCAAATTAATTTCACTGCGTTTTGTTCCGGTACCGCCATTGGGCATTTCAACATGTACCAAATTCACTCTGACACTGTCGTTTAGACGAAATTCATGGTTGGGTTGAATAACGCGCTCAATTTGAGCTAAAACCCGCTCTGTTGTCAAAGGAGAAAGAGCCATGAAAGGAAGAGAAATAGGTTTTTCAAGCTGAGGTGAATGCAACACAAAACGTACTTGATCATGCTCTGGAATATCTCGTGTAATGGTATTCAACATACTTTCAAATATTCCATGCAGACGGTCGTGGAACTGAGAAAGCTCCAAATGAGCAAACGTGTCCGTGAATTGTACTGTATAATCCACACCTTGACACACCTGTCGTGCTGAATTTTTTCACTTTAATTTGTTTCATATTTGTCACGGTAAAAAAGTTGTCGCTAACTTCGTCAGTTGCACTGTCATTCACTTCGTCTGTGGATCTTTTCTCGCCACGGCCCATCTGCAACAGGGGGTCATCGTTTTGCCATTCACGTATGAATCTTTCACGTTGTTCCGGTGTCCAGTTGTCCGTAAAGTCAGCCGTAAGCCCTAGCTGCTCATTTTCTACTCTCCATTCCGTTATTCGACTAAAAATCTCCAATTTCCTCTCGAAAAGAATGCGTTGTTCCACTTCATTCAACAAATATAGCCTTTCCAAAGTTGATAATTCAGCTATTGTCTGACACTCGACAATTTTAACTGCCAAATCCATGTCTAAATAAAAATACTTTTGTTTATTTCCTTTCTATGACATACAACAAGCCATGAAGGAACTTAATACTTTTAACAAACTATAGAACTCTGTATAGAACTGAAACTTTTATAGTTAAAAGGTATAAATCGTCCCGTATTGTTCTCAAAAAATCATCTAAAATCTAAGTTGCTAAATCGACTCTTTTAAAGCAAAACTTCTCGCGAAACACTTTATTTATGAAAGCTATAAACAAAACTGTTTTGCCTAAATTCACATACCTTTTAACGTTGAAATACAAAGGAACACCTCGTCTGCAGTTAATATCTGTGAATAACTATAAACAAAAATCGCGAAACGTCAAATATCCAGCAAAGTTCTATCGGTAAAAACTATAAAACAAAAATGCTTTGCCTAAGTTCACATACAAAAAGTTTATCTATATAGTTTGTTAAACAACATACCTTTAAAAGTTGAAAGCAGCAAGTCTTTATACTAAGGGCCTGTTTATATGATCCCGGCCAGGCGGGACGGGATGCCTACCGAGATCCCGCTCGTAATACAAATTCTAACGAGTGTTTATATGATCCCGTCACTTATCCCGCCTAGACGGGATCTCGGCAACAGATGCCGGGATCCCGCCTAAGCGAGATGAAAAATTCCCATGTAAACACTTCATCCCGCCTAGCCGGGACGAGAAATTCCCATGTAAACACTTCATCCCGGCTAGGCGGGATGAACTTTTCCATTTTGAGCATGCGTAAATGCCTTTATTGCAACAAAAATATGACGTCAAGCACTTAAATGGCTTCATCCCGGTAATGTATTTTGTCCATATAAACACTAGGCGAGTTTCCCGTCTAGGCGAGATGAAAACGTCCCGTCCCGTCTAGGCGGGATCATATAAACAGGCCCTAAGAAAAAACCACTCGCGAAACGTCAGTAAAGTTTTCTGTGTGAACAATATATCAAAGCAAATCTTTCAAAGTTCTCTCTGCGAAAGCTGTGTAAACACTACGTTCTTGTAAACTCGAAGACCTCAATTTATACAGTATATTAAATCCGGTTCGAACTGGTATTGTAGCGCTTACAAGGATCATATTTTTTTTTTTACAATAACGTTATGCGACAAATACTTGCTGACGCCATCTCAAAATTCCAAAAGGTCACGCGACAAATGTTCGCGACAATGTTCCAAAAATGACGTCACTCTTATCCCTAAAAAATGCTGACGTCCTATGGCGGGAAAAATGCTGACGTCATATGGCGGGAAATTTACCCCATATGGGGGGGCACATCTACTTACCTGAATTATTGAAAATATTGTCCATTGAAAATATTGAAAATATTGTTTTGCATCATGAAAATGTAAATTAAGCTCGTACAGTGCATTTGTGCAAGACAAAATAAAGTTTGACCGCCCCCCCCCCCTCGTTTAAAAAAACTTCCTGGATCCTTAATTATTTCCCCGGAATTACGACATCTTTACATACAGACAGACAGGCACAAAATCGAGATGTCGACAATACATAGCTCGTGCAAAGAGACTGGACACAAGTAAACGCGATACTTCATGTTAAGAATAGTGTGCTGCCTTAGGCAGCAACAATTATTCACCTCAGGTTCGGTGATTATCGTGAATAAAAACCTCGACTTCGTCTCGGTTTTTATTCACCGATAATCACCTCGCATTTGGCGAATAATTGTTAAATAACAAAATTCATCGGGCATCTGTGCATGTTAACTGTGATTATAAAAAGTGATTATATAGGTCATTTTGACTTGAAATACCGGTATTTTTGTATTTATACGACATGCCATACCCTAGCTATTCATCTCATATTTGAATATGAATACCGGTATATTCGGTACATCGATTATCTCTAGCTAAAATTTAACGAGAGGGCAGCTCGAGTGTTTTATATCTGGTAAAGCACGGACTGAGAGTTTCTTCAATGAGTTTTTTAATACGGCTATATAGTTTGCTTAATTGAAAGGATATCATTATGTCATGGTTGAAAAATTACCTTACTAAGTACATAATGCCATTTCCAGGGTTTTGGTGGCCCATGCAGTCGTCAGAACAAGTGCCTTTCACCTCTCAAATCCTTGGGTATACGATTCTCGTTGCATGCGGACTGTATGTCTTATGTGAAAAGAGTCAGTCAACGCTCTACAGCGAAAATCCAGGTACTCTGGTTTCCTCCCAAGGGAATGTTGACAGGATGGATTGGGATGAATCCAAACTATAACACTTCCATGTTAGCTGTGGCGTGCTTTGTAAGCAAACATCAGTCATAAGATGCTGCCATGCAAAGGCGTCCTTAGTGAGCCTTCCACTCGATCTGCTGAGCAATGACCTATAACTCTCATCCGCAAATAAGAATGAATTATAGCTTGCACACCCCCACGTACTTACCTACGTACAGTACTTTAGTTATCTATTCGAAACCATACAATTTTTTTACTAAACAAGAACACAACAGAAACAGCCTTGAGACACACAGCTTTTGTGCAGTCGTTGGGGTAGGCGTAGTCTAAGTAATATAGTTCTTTTAGGCGGCATGATCTGAGGTTATATGTTACCTTCTATACATTATATACATTATGTACATTATATACATTATATACATTACATACATTATATGCATGTACATTATACTAGATCCGTGATTATATACCGTACATTATACACATTCTATACATTACATATATTATATACAGTCTATACCATATGGTCTATACATTATATACATTATAAAAACATGTTCGATATGGTAAACGTATTCTGAGTGCAGTCATTGAGGAGACAACTCGCAACCATTGATTAATATAACATCCCCATTCATGTTACTAGTGAAAACGTTAGTGATTTCTTTAATTTGCAGACGTTTAAGGCTGGAGTTCAACCAAAACCGTTGTGATTACTACACGGAAATAGATGCTGCTTATCTTCATGGCTTAGATTCCAAAGAAGAATATAGTTACGATGATGATAGAGAAGACGCTGTTGATAATTTAAATAACATCTTTAAAAAACAGATTACAGTCAAGAACTTTCATGATGAAATAACAAATGTTGAACAAGATTCTTGGAATATCCTGATGCTTCCAGTACGTATAATTATGCGATATAATATTAAGGAAGGAGGCCATCAGATCAAAATATATTTTCGACGTATAGACGTATACCTAAAATATCTGCGTTCTCCACTGTATTTTTACAATCTATATAATCAATCCCACACTTTTCGAAGTTGTTTATAGACTTTCTTATGCCTGCAAAGCCTTATGATGGTGAAGTATAGTTTATATATGCTATTGCATGTTGTTCACTATTGGAATGGCGACGCTTCAAACTAAATTAACGTCTTCTTCATAGATCGAAGTTATCAACAAAATATTTTCATATCTGACGTTTACTGATTTTGGAAATCTTTCCCGATCTTGCAGGCAAGTAATATTCTCAGGGGCGCACATTCGCAAAAAATTTGGGGGGGCGTTCTATGTGCTGGGACCGACTTTTGTAGTATTTGTGTTTGGTAAGAAAAGCCAACTATTTAAAGCGCATAGACGGTAAGACGGGGATAGTATTCCAAAAGTTTAAATAAACGTTCAGTTTTTCAGAACTTTTGCAGTGGTCTAAACTTTCGGATGGGGGGCGGGGGCAAAATTTTTATGGATTTCGAATGCGAGCGCCGTAGGCGCGAGGAAAATTTTGAATTTCTAGATTCATTAGAACGCTATTTCACGTATTTTAGGATGAGGTTTGAAGAAAAGTTATACAACCACAAAAAGGCATTTCTAAGTCGCCTAATGTTGTTAGATCGAAAAAATGTTTATGTAAATAGTATTGTACACGCAAATACAACAGCAAAATGGCATGATGCCTTCGTTTTTGTAGAAGTCGGTCATGAGTGTTGCTCTGAGCGCAAATTCAAGTTCAAATGTGCTTTAAAGCAACCAGCATTTTTTACTGGAGTTAGGATTCTATAGGTAGGGAAGACTTCAACTTTATTGGCAAACAGAGGAGATGGGTATCATTATTCACACATCGTACCCCCACCCCAATTTCTGTCCGGATTTCAGCTTTCCACAAGGGCAGTCCTTCTGACCATTGCAGAGCCCCCCGAGCCCCCATCTTGGCTACGCCGCTGATTTACTTCTGCCTTCCAAAGTTTCAGCTTTTGCGACAAAACTAACAATGCGCATTTTAACTGCACCGCGGGGGCTTGAGGTAATCGGATCGCATTACGTTGGCTGAACTGTTGCAACACAGAAGTTGATTATTTGCTCTCTTGGTTTGTGTCAGTGAACTCTAATTTGTGTATATTCGTTTTTCTTTGTCTAATTCGTTTTTCTTATGTTTATGCAACTTCCATTTCCAGAATGTCCACCTATTACTTTTTTCGACACAAAATGATATCTTTCAGATTTTAGCCGGACCGACTTTTTCGTCCCCATTCAGGTTTTGGGACCGACTTTTTAGATATATTTCACAAAACATGGGGGGGTGTCACACCCCCCCACACACCCCCCTAATGTGCGCCCCTGAATATTCTTTGAGAATCCTATGAGACTTTTGTTTTTCGGGGATTTTTAAGTTTATATATGATGTTAAACTATTTTTGTAAAGATCTTTCCAAGATTATTGCTATGATCCATTGTGGTTCAAGGAATTTGACCTGCAACCCTACTGGCAGAAGGTATGTAGTAGTGCAAACGCCAGTCATAAATTTGCGACTGCCGCACAGCCTCCTCCTGTTGTGACGTGCGAGCCTGCAAAAATTCTCCAAATTTGTAATTGCTGCGGAGCAAGCGAGCCTGAAGCGAGCGAGCGTAGCAGCAACCTAATATATGCAGAGAGGGGGTTTTGAACTAAATTTTATTAAGCGCACGGAATTGTGGTCGTGCGCGCTTTCTATGCGCAGAACACACATTTTAAACTCGCTCGAGTTTTCGAATTTTTATCGAATTTTTAAAGCTTTTTCAAGTCTAATGTTACGCAACTTACGCTTACATTTGTTTTGGACTTTGGCCACTATCAGTTCTATATTTTAATCAAGTTTTGGTTTCTTAGTGTGATCAATCTGTGTATATAGTCTATATAATGTGGTAGATGCGCCTAGCATTAAACAGACTTGATATGAAATCTGATCCTTAATTTCCTGTATGTCAATGAGACGTACATGTTTAATATATGTCACCTCTGATTGCCCTTTAACCCCTGGTCTTTTGCTTGCATGACTCTTGACACTTGCTATTTCAATGTATATTGCTTCTTCTCAGTTCCATTCACAGCTCACTAGACGCTGCGAGTAATCACTGTGCTTGATATAATTTGTGCTTTTTACTGTAGTTCTATTTGCTTCTAATGCCCGCAGCAATCCCTACCTTGCAGGTACCCTAGTCTATGACATTTTAAAGACATTAGACAGCTGATTTAGAAAAGACGACGAGGCAAATACGACGACGCAGTCTCAGTTTCAGTTCAATATTGAGAGCTAAGGAACTTGATTACTGTAATAAATTGAAGCTTTATAAAATAATCTTACAAACGGCTAAGTTCGGGAAAAACGATCCGGTGTCGGCTATGAGACAGATTTTATAGAAATGAAGTGGATGAGAATTTTATATACTGACACACTCTCAAATTGTACAAGCATTCAGCAAGAGGTGCTTCAGTTATAACGGTGCCTTGCATTGGAATATTCTTCCCCATGAGGCAAAAATTGCTCAATCCTTAAGCTCTTTGAAATCAATATTAAAACAAAGAATGAGTTGAAACGTGCCTGTGTATGATTAAAAATCATTGTATTTTCTTATCATATTTTGTATTCCTTGTAAATAGTTAATTTTATATTTCACGCCCCTCATGTAAATCAGCCTCCCAACGGCTGTTGACGCTAGCGTGATTAAATAAAGTTTGTATGTATGTATGTATGTTTATTCACTTTGCTCCAATGTCGTGAAAATCGTTTAGTTCAACGTTGTATTGAGAATGAGAACGGTGTTGAGGATACCCCTGGGACCGCAAATTATTCAAACTTTTTGTTTTCTATGAAGAATTTCTTTGTTTCAGTTCGCGTCACGTTTTCTAAATCAGTTTATTAAAACCACTAGAACATGAAATAATTTCTGTGTCACAGGTAGAGATATACTCTACAGCATTAATTGAACATAATTAATCTTGGAATATTTTACCCCTCTCCGTTTATTAGCCTTGCATTATTCTCAAAGAATGTAAATCTATATTTTCTTTTGATCTAGGTCGATAAATTTAATCTTCAATGCTTAAGTGAAAGATGTCGATCAACAGAAAAACTTAGATTATCGTGGTGTGGTTCTAGTGATACGCTGTCTTCACTCGATTTTTCAAGGTATATTTTGCTTCCTAGGCACGCCCTCTATATGCATAAGCTCAGCTTGGCACATACTATATAGTTGGCGTCTTCCCCAAGATAATTTTAATTCCTTATCATGGGTGTATGTTGGAGGCACGGGGATGTCAAAAGAGAATTCCAGTTTGACTCTACCAAATATTACTGCTCCCTCATGTGGTAAGGACACACTGGATCAATAAGTGACGGCACTTGTACCGGAACTCAGAGAAGCTAGAACAGTGAATTTATAGAACTGCCCGATATAGAGATATTCAGTGTAGATATAAAGTTATCTATAATTTAATTTTAATTGGATGCAAAACACGACTATATTTTACCATTTTAGTTTTCTTCAAACGATCAGTGGAAAGTTAAGATGCTTGTACCTGTCATGCTGTAGATTTGTTGATCAAAATGCTTTGATATTGATTACGAAAGTCTGCCCTCAACTCGAAGGTATAGTCGCTGGAAATGTTTGTATTTATGTGACAGAGTTTACATACATACATCCTTAATTCCTATAATGATTGTCAAAATTTTTGTTTTTAGAGTTAGATTTATCGTCTTGTATTGACATCCCAAGTGAAACATTTGACGAACTTGCAAAACTAACGAATTTAAAAAGATTAAATCTCTACCGAACACAGATAACCGAAAATAATTTTGAGAAAATTGCCAGGTAATTTCAACAAAAATTGCAATCTTTGTGTTATGAAGCGGTATAGTGTTTCTCAAAGAATGCTTAGCACCCAAATATTTATTTTTTTAAAAAATCATTGTTTCTGATCGGTTATTGGCAACTGTGAAATAGTCATATCAATTCAATGACTGACCAAATATGGAGTTGTGACATCATGCAATATGAAAAAAATATTGCACGCTATGACGTTTTGCGCGAGCCGACAAACTTGTTTTTCAGATTTTAGCCAGTTGTATACACAAACCAGACATTGTTTAAATTTGCTCACTTGAGCCTAAATATTAACCGTGCAACCTGATTTCTCAAGCTTTTAAACTTTAACTGGCGAATAGCGTGTTATACGGTGAACTTTGAAGTGCCAAACTACGGGTCGCCACCAATCCATGCGATACAACTAAAGAATATATTCCCTAAAGAACGAGTCTTGTTTAGGAAACCTATGACAAAACACTACTTTTAAGTTATGCCAGAGCAGTCTGAGCAGCAGGGGCGTAGGAAGCAGTCAAAAGATTGGGGGGGGGGGGGCACCGGCTTCTAGGGGCACTTTGGGTATTGAAAAGGGCACCTAAAAAATTTTTCCCGGAAATGCTGGCGACGGGGGGGAGAAGAAAAATTTTCCCGTCGTACCATATCGAAATTGCGCGTTCTTGACCACATTTTTTTAAAAAACTTGGAAATTTCCAAAGAAAAAGGGCACCTTTGATATTAATTTAGTATTTACAGCGACATTGGCTTGTATACAAAAAGGGCACTTTTCATCGTAAAAAAGGGCACTTTTAGTCCTTTGAAAAAATGGGGGGGGGGGAGGGCGGGGCACGTGCTTGCTGAGCAGCAACTATTGCCTCAGAGTTACTGCTGAAGGAGCCAATCAGAACGCTTGAAAGCCATTTTTCAATATTGCATTTATACTAATATGTGATGGTAATTTTAACATTTACTTTGTTTAATCATTCCCTAGCTTTTATACTTTGTTGTGTACTTAAAGGTCTTGTACAGAATTAATGCATATTAATCTGGGAGGATGTTTTCAATGCACAAATTTCGATGAAGCAATGAAATACTTGGAATATTGTCCGTAAGTTGTCTCATTCTTTGTTAAATTATTTGCTGGCTATTTACACCTGAAATGCTATTTACCTTCCTCAAAATAATGTGAGTTTTGGCCTTCTCAAATTGCTAAATATAGAAATTATGATTTATGTCATTCAGAATCGGTTTCTTATTCCTATTTCCTGCTGACTATATAGTATTTAGCACTGATCCGCTGATAGTGTTGAGTAGAGTGTTCCACATTAAACCTTCCTCACTGACCTCACATATGGTAAACATTCCTTACTGACCTCACATATGGTAAACCTTCCTTACTGACCTCGCATATGGTAAACCTTCCTCACAGACCTCACATATGGTAAACCTTCCTTACTGATCTCACATATGATAAACCTTCCTCGCTGATCTCACATATGGTAAACCTTCCTCGCTGACCTCACATATGGTAAACCTTCCTCACAGACCTCACATATGGTAAACCTTCCTCACTGACCTCACATATGGTAAACCTACCTCACGGGTGGTACCCGCATACCCGCAGCTCTTTTTTGCAACTCTGGAACAAGTGCGAGTTAATTTTTCTGGAGTTGAATTTTGAGTTTGTTTCCTGTGTTAAAAACAGCCTACCTTTTAAATTAACAGAAAGGAAGGAGGTCTGCAGTACTTTGAGTTGTATACGTGCTAGAAAAGAAATTTAATATTTCAACCTGGTATACTGATTTTCATTCTTAGTGACAGTGTTGTTCATATTTGTCTTTTACACAGAAATCTTGTATCGCTAGACTTATGGAGAGCAAAGTCTCTAACTCCAAATGGAATCGACAGTATTTATAAAAACTGTCCCAACCTCGAAGAAATAGATCTTGGCTGGTGGTAAGAGAATGATAATTTTTACATGAGGCAATTTAGACAGTGAATACATAACATCATCTTAACAATACAGTACATAGACACACGAGCGCCAAATAAATAATGTTAGTGACTTGTATAGCATTCCTTTTATGGGCATTGCATATTCAATAGAGTGAGATGCCAACAAGATCTTGATATTTGTCCATAACTTAACATGGCAGTACCCTGGTATATATGCATGAACTTGTCGGTGGAGCTCGGAAACTGGACCCTGTGGCTTGGTTGGAGCGCTGCATCGGAATCGCAGAACCAGGGACGGCGGAACGATATGACGGCAAGGGGGGGGGCAGAATTTCGTGAAAGGGCACTTTTGAATTGACATATACTAAGAGATGTTTACAAAACATCGGGGGTTGAACTTCGCCTAATCATATTTTCTATTTATTGGATGATAGGGGTGTGAGGGGGTCTCCGCCAGGCGATTGTGCTATTCTTGAAGCTCCAACAATTACTTTATGGTTTTCTTGTTTGGATGGCCTGATCCAAACACTTGGGAATAAGTTAAGTTAAGAAAAGCGCAAGAGTTAAGAAAAGCGCGCAAAATCACTCGCCTTCGGCTCGTGTTTCGCGCGCTTCTCTTAACTCTCGCAACATTCCCGCGTGTTTGGATCAAGCCATCCAAACACGGAAACCAATAAAGTAATTGTATAATCGTATGATCAAAATCAATGCGAAGCGTAATGCACATAAAAGAGCCATAGGCAAAACGTTTATTCTGTGTCCTTGGTTAAGGGGCCTATACTGCCACGGTAATTGCTAGATAGTATACTTCAAAATAAGGTTTCCGTTTTGATAACGTAGAAAAAACTATCCTAACGCAAAACTAAACCCTAACACTAACCCCAACCCTAACCCCCAACCTAACCCCTAACCTAACCCTAACTTATTTTAAAAATTGATATATTCAAAATATTGAAGTATACTATCTAGCAATTACCATACTGCCACCAGCATGGTGCGGTACTTTCCGCATGTTCGTGATCACGTTCGTGATCACATGTTCGCGATATTTATGTTCGGCGTATATCAAGACCTGAAACCTGAAAGAATCGCCGGTATAAAAAGTATATGCATGTATCAAACAGCCTGTAAATACATCTAAATAATATTTATTCTATGCCATACATATGAATAGGGAAGATTTCAAGTTCACCTGTGTGCACTGTTGCCATGAATACGTACATTGTTAGCCTTTATTGTAGTCTTTTTAATGTCCATGCTAATAAATTTTTTACTTCCCTTATAGTAATAATGTTACAATACATGGTTGGTTGCGTCTCCTGGTTACTCACTGTCAGAAGATTAAAAAGATTTTCTTGACCGCTCTAAGGTAATGCCAAAATTTATACAGTAAAGCTCTAATATTTTCTGAAAGTGGGCATAATACTTTATTGTAACGATATATTGATTGGTAAATTGAAGCTAATTATTTCCATGTTTGCTGACTCATGTTTCAATATTGCTATACTCCATGTAAGTCATTAGTCTCCCTCACAGCCGTTCTTTGTGTCTAGGTTTCTCCTCACGAACGGCTGCTCACTCGAGCACAACATTCCATTCCCTTTGTCTTACGTTAGCCAATCAGATTTAGCGACATAAATATCTAAATAAATTTAGCGACATAAATATCTTAATAAGTCCAAGGTCATGTTTCCGAAATTTAGAAACATTACTGTGATTGGTTGTTTTCAGGAAAGGAATGTTGTGCTCGAGTGAGCAGCCGCTCGTGAGGAGAAACCTCGACACAAAGAGCGGCTGGGAGGGAGACTAGTAAGTCATCTGTGTTTTTTTTTTATAGAACTGTATCTGACGATGATCTCATTGCCATTTTTGAAAACTGTACTTTCTTAGAACAACTCGACATTCTTGGAAACTCGAATATTTCAAAGAAATCTGCAGACACGTAAGCTTTATATGTTATATTTTACAAAAGGTATTTTAGGATTAGGTAATCATGCAACCGCCAATTAAACACTACATAGTTGTACCATATTTCAATTGGATCCTATATTGGAGAAGGTGTGATTTTCCGTATTCTATGCAGCTAATTCAGCACAAGATTGCCCTATCCACAGTGCCCTATCCAAAGCAAAACTCAAAACCGCAAAATCTCGATCCAAGGCGGGGAAAGCACAATCACATCATGTAATCAATGCGGGCATGGAAGTTGTGTTTTGCAAAATGCTATTAGTAAAGAGACATCAGTGAGCTCTCTCTCTCTATATATATACCGGGTGGCGCAAAAAAAAGTATAACTGTTTGATTACATATAGCTCAAAGACCATAAGCAGTAGAACCCAAAATCGAGTTTCATTGCATCCAGCGATGTCTAACTTAAATTTTGGTATATTCGACAGGCATTTTCGTCCAAGATTGACTGAGATATGAGTGTTTAAACTTTTGTTAGCAAATTTGAAACGGTCACAAATTAGCTAAAAACGGCCTATTAAACTGATTTTTAGCTAATTTGTGACCGTTTCAAAATTGTTAACAAAAGTTTAAACTCTTATATCTCAGTTAATCTTGGACGAATATGCCTGTCAAATATACCAAAATTTAAGTTAGATATCGCTGGATGCAATTAAACTTGATTTATGGTTCTACTGCTTATTGTTTCTGAGTTACAAGTAATCAAACAGTTGTACTTTTTTTTGCGCCACCCGGTATATATATATATATATATATATATATATATATATATATATATATATATATATATATATATATATATATATAAATGACATTATGATGATGAAACGGATTTTCAAATTTTGCACCGAAAATTCAGGCTGAATGGCGAGTGAGGGGAGGGGGTGTAGCAATGGTGCACAGCAGGAGTCTTGGAGCACACTCATTGGTGGGGACAGGGTTGTGGTTATGAGGGCTAAGCCCCTAGACAATTTTGAGATTTTTTATCTTAGTTCAAATTTAGTTCAAAATCCTTATTATAATCATAAAAATCATAGTATTCCTTAGTATGGTCATACTACTGTCATATGATCCAACAAGCTATAAATTTCAGGGGGATGCATGCATAATTTATACAATAATGTGACACTTATTTGCCCTACCGTGCTACCCCTACTCAACGTTGATAACTCACAAGGTTTTAACTATGCCATTTTTATCAACATTTAGAAGGAGGAAGCGGACAGGACTTGCAAGTATAACTTATGAGCAGTGTCAACTCTATTTGTGAAATCGAACACTTTAGTGCGTCCCCCCGCCCCCTTCTCTCCTGAAAAGACGATTATGCTTATGCTCAAGCCTATTAAGGTGGAGTTATATGAGCAACAAAAGTGCTGCCTTTTGCAACTGTTTTTAATGCATGTTGGTTAGAGATTTTAATTAACATGCATTGGTATCACTTTTGTTTCATGTTGCAGTAATTTTGTTGCTCGTAAAACTACTCCACCTTTTCCTCTCAAATATTTAACTTTTCAAAACAACAAAAACCTGATTATATCATGCAGTCGTAAGTTACTGCATTCACTGCAAAATTTCTTGCAAAATTACATTATATAATAACAGGTGAGAAATTTGTCGTCGCTGACCAAAAACTCACGGGCAGAAACAAAGCTCCATTGCATTTACATTCAAAACAAAGCAGAAAGTTAGCAAAAAGCTGTTTTAGCTGACGAATATTTGCTTTCCATTCAACGATATACACATTAACGGTTATTCTCTTAAAAATCGATCATGAATTCTTTGTTTTGGAATGATTTTTTTGTAATCGTGATTGGAAGAAATGAATATGGCGACGTGAACATGGGAGCAAATACCGTATACGTCGAGGTATGGCTTGCTCAAAACCGTAATAAACGAAGAACAACGTGATATGAGAATGAAATGTAAGTTGAAATTTATTTTATATGCCTCAAATTTTCCATCCTGTGTTTCTTAATGCAACTTTAGCGGTCTAATTTCAAAATACAAGCTTGCAAAATTTGACAAATTTTGAAACTATGTAAAAATTGCGGAAGGTGAACTTTCTTCATGAAAAGGGCCTCGAGAAGGGTCTAGTTTGAAAATCTAGCTCATAGTTTCGATTTCTTGGGCATATTTTGGTTACACGTTAAATATGTTTGTACATGATGAGATATCAATCAATCAATCAATCAATCAAAATTTAATCAAATAGTTTAGTTAAATAATACATTTTGATTACACGATCCCGCAATTAGCAAAGCTATTCGCGGCGGGTAGTGTATGATTTTCACAACAATTTTTTAAATATATAATGATCTTAATATCAAATAATAACTGCATGCATGTTATTTAGAGATTAAGAGTAAATATTAACTTGATACTATATATCTGCAAATATTTAAACTGGCTAGGATATATGATATTTATATCAATCCCAGTTTTACTGTAAGCCTATAATCTATAGAGTTCATTTTGAATAAGTGTTAAAACTAAAGCTAAAACTGAAGAAAGAAAAACTAAAGCTAAAACTGAAGAAAGAAAATTTGTTGTATAATCAAGCCTGACTTCAGTGTAATTTTGGTGATGACCGGAAAAGAAATGAAGATAATTCGGTACCAATGGACTTTACCGAACCTCCTGCCAATATAATATTGGGAGAAAGGAAGAAAGAATCCTGAATAAAAATCCAGAATAAAAAACTTATTGAATGGTTTCGAATACGTTCGAAACTCGGAGATCGTGATTTCTTACACAATAGTAAACCCTGTATGGACGGGAAATTTTTCCTTGACAGTTTTTGTTTTCTTGACTCGTGTGTATTGCGTCTGTGTGGCAAAAATTGGCATCTTTTTCTTTGCTAGGCGTAGTATTGTTCCAAAGAAAGTCTGCCAGATTTGCGGGACAATAGTCCAGTCAAATCACTATAAGTACATGGTCCTGATCAAAATAATCGCAATAGAATTTTTCTCAGTGGTAAAATGTGAGTGAAGGCGTTCTGATTAGCATACTAAAAATCCCAAAAAATCCCTTCGGCGGAACATGGAAATTCAAGTTTTTCTTACATCTACCTATAGAAAACCATTGCGGACAAAATGTTGAAATTTTGAAAGTATTTTTTTGCAAATATAACATGCATCATTGGAAAGCTTAGAAAAAACTAAAATATAGATCATTAAACGGTTACCTTGCTTTTGCCTATCCAGCCGAAGTTATACAAGATTTAAAATGCCATAAATATGTATTTTGTGCACATTTTGCGCTATTTTTCCAACTTTGAGCTAGAATAACGACAAACTGACCAGTAAATTGAATATAACGGTTTAATTGACCTTAATATAGTTTGGTTAAGCTTTTCAATAATGTAGGTTACATTTGCAATTTTGAACATTCTGTCCACAATGGTTTGCTATAGGTATATAAGTAAGAAAAACTTGATTTTCACCATGTTTCACCGAAGGGATTTTTTGGGATTTTTAGTATGTTAATCAGGACACCTTTCCTCACATATTATCACTGAGAAAAATTCTATTGCAATTTTTTTACCTCTGGTCACAGATTGACTGGCTACAAGGAAAATTTGTTCATGTGCACGGCCATGAAGAAAAACTTGACAAATGTACTGATACAACAATTTGCATTCAAGCACAAACCGCAAACATTCTCGCGCGTTTGTTTACGTTTTAAACGGGGCGTTTACCGTTGGAAACGGAAATGTTTCACTGTTCATGTGACGTGTTACAGTGCAAAGCCTAATTCAGTTATTTTTCATGTTTTGATGTGCTTTCGTGTACGTTTCAGTATTTCCAAGCTCACGATATTGTAAGAGCGACCAAACTTGTTTATATTCATACTTATTTTTCTAGAACGTATTATCATGGGCTTGGAAATATTGAAACGTACACGGAGGCACATCAAAACATGACAGTTGCGCAAAAAATAGCTTTTTCACTGTGACACGTCACATGAGCGGTGAATACATTTCAGTTTCCAACGGTAAACGCCCCGTTTCAAACTTTAAAAAACGGGCGAAAATGTTTGCGGTTTGTGCTTGGATGCAAATTACTCTATATGGTTTTCGCAAACAAAAGGCGGTCTTGACATGAGACTGATAAATGTTTAACAGCGTTCCAAGCACACGAGCAACAAAACTTAACA